TCACTCAACAAACATTTATGGAATGCCACCTAAAGTTCAGTCACTATTTCAAGTGCTGGGTACCTAGCCCTGAAAACGCCATGTCCCTGATGTCACAGAACTTTGACTCGAAAGAAAGGCCTAAGGGTTTTAACTAATCCCAAGGTTCACTGAGCCATCAGTATGTAGCTTGGAGGCAGCCACAGGTCCCAAAGGATTGAGAGAGACTTTGACAAACCAGTGTTGGGAGGAATGTGGCTAAGCTCACAGAGGACCAATAAGAAATGAGAGATGACTGGAGGACCAACGGTGAGAGGAGATGCAATAGCCATCTTTGAGTATTGTGAAGAGAGCTATCTGTGCAGACTTGATTTCAAGGGCCTGATGGAAGTGACAAGGCCACAGGAATAGGTTCTCACGAAGGTAACTGCTCCACGGAGGTATGGAGTGGCCGTGTTCCCTACGGAGAGGTATCCTTTCCTTAGTGATGCTGCAGGGAAAAACTAGGCTGAGATCAGACTAGACCCGTGGCCTGCAAACTGCGGCTCTCGAGCCACATGCGGCTCTTTGGACCCTGGAGTGTGGCTCTTCCACAAAATACCACGGCCTGGGCGAGTCTATTTTGAAGAAGTGGCGTTAGAAGAAGTTTTTAAAAAATGTGGCTCTCCAAAGAAATTTCAATTGTCGTACTGTTGATATTTGGCTCTGTTGACTAATGAGTATGCCGACCACTAGACTAGACTATCAAGAGATCATCTTGCCAAAACTGGTTTGGCTCAGTGGATAGAGTGTGGGCCTGTGAACTGAAAGGTCCCAGATTCGATTTCGGTCAGGGGCATGTGCCTTGGTTGCAGGCACATCCCCGGTGGAAGGTGTGCAGGAGGCAGCTGATCGATGTTTCTCTCTCATCGATGTTTCTAACTCTATCCTTCTCCCTTTCTCTGTGTAAAAAAAAAAAAAAAAATCAATAAGATATATTTTTAAAAAGAGAGAGAAAAAGAGAGAGAGAGAGAGAGAGAGAGAGAGAGATCATCAGCTCAGCTGGTGTGACTCCACGGTTGAGTGTCCAATCCAGGAACCAAGAGGTCACCGGTTTGATTCCCGGTCAGGGCACATGCCCAGGTTGCGGGCTCAATCTCCAGTGGGGAGTGTTGCAAGAGGCAGCTCCGATCAATGATGTTTCTCTCTCCCTTCCTATAAATTAATTAATTATATTTGAAAGAGAGAGAGAGATCAGACTAGTCTCCGAGTCCCATCAACAGTAAAATCAAGAATGTTATAGTTCACCCCCCATTAATCGGGAAGGCAGTGTTCAGAAGTGTGGGCTTTGGATTCTATTCCTGGACAGGGACAAGTCTGAACCGTGTCCCCTCCCTTCTAAACGGAGGATAGTAATAGTTCCCACCTGTGCCAGCTTAAGGACAAACCCAGGTGGTTTACATTCAGTGCCACGGATACAGTACCTGGCCCCTGATAAGTCATCCATACCTATTAGCTAACGGGGATATATTAAGTGCTGTTCATTTTATTTTATTTTTTCCAGTTTATTCAGGTAAGTCATTTTGCTGCGAGTCTCTAATTCTTCCATCTTTCACGTTGCATTTACTGAATCAATTATGATAGCAATTTAAACCTGTAAAGTGGAAGCACTGTAGAGAAATGTTTCATTCTCTGGAGAAATTAGGGGGAGGGGGGAGACAATAGTATGACAGGGGATGTTTAAGGATGTAATGAGAGGGACTAGTGATTAAATCAAAGGGAAGCTAGGGAGCGATGAACCTGCAGAACAGCTGAGCCAGGCAACCTCCATCTCCTTCTCCTCAGGAGACCCCCATCAAGACAACGGAAGTAAGCATCCATCCCGCAAGCCTATTACTCACGCCAGACCAATTTAATTTCCTCCTGTGACAGAGATGTGCCTCGGTGACACAGAGAAGCAACGGATATCCGATCCTGTGGCTTCAGCTAAGTCTTTCATTCCAGCCTACAGACCCGCTAACTCTCGACGTGTAATTGAATTCTGCTGGCTCGTGGAAGCTGTCTCCAGAAATGGGAACCAGAGGCTCATGATCGCTCTTTGAGTGAGGAGGAGGCAATGAGCTCTTTCCTTTGTGGGACTGAGGAAACACCTGTGTGGGAGGGAGGGCGGGAGAGGGAGGAGGGAGACGTGCTCCCCACGGCGCTGGCTCAGAGATGAGGGTTCACCCTGTGCTCAGACCTCCTGAGGTTGGGGTGCCGGCAGGAAGTGACTTTGACCCTAAAGGAGAGTGGCCAGGGGCTCAGAAAGAAGGGATCTTGGAAGACAGGGGGATCTGGGGGTAAGAGCGATGAAGAAGTGGAGAGAATGTCTTGACCGGGGCAAGGTAACGGAGTCCCATCTGCCTTGAATGAGGGGACCTCCAGAGACCCTCTCCAGCTTGAATATTCGAGTGACCGAGCCCTTTTTGGACTCTGCTGAATCCAGCCTTTCCTTTCGTCCCCCATCAGAAAACGCTCGATCGAAACAAGGAAAAAAAAAAAAATACAACACGTGCACTGTGGGCCAACAGGTGCCTCTTCCCCTCCCCCATCAAGCCTGGGCCTGAGTTCATGGGCTGCCACAAACGAGCATGCCTGTGCCAGACCTCACCTGTTGCAGGCACCAGATCCCATGATGCATGATGGGATCTGACTGAGGAGGGCAGAGCAACACATGAATAAGCGTTGGAGAGGAATAGCTATGCACATAGCCAGCACGCAATAACTCTCCCATACGCATACATAGACACACACACACACACACACACACACACACAAAACCATATACTCCCAGTCACCAAGGCAACCGTTCCCTGAGGCTGCACTTTGCTGTTTTTCAGACTAGATCTTTTTCTCCATGTTTCCTTGGAGGGCAGCTCTGGCCTTGGACTCTGCTGGGCGGCACCATCCCTCCGTGGGAAAGGCTGTTACGTATACCAGTTCCCAGGCCCCCTTCCAAAGGCCTGCTACGTCTGATCCTCCTTCCGACACTGAAGTCAGCCAGCGCATGGCCTGCAGAGTTGCTGAGAGCATCAGCCACACAAAACAACTGTTCTATTGAATAACTGACAGGTCTCGCTTTAAAAAAAAAAAGGGGGGGGGGGATGGAGGTCCACAAAGTTCATGTGAAAAGGGAGCCATCTTTGGTCCTACAAGATGGACAGACCGGCTCTCAAGATGAAAGGGACAGCTCTTCTGGAGGAGGCATAGGTTTAGGATTCCAGGTTTGTTTTTGTTTTTTTGTTTTAATAAATTTTATTGATTTTTCACAGAGAGGAAGGGAGAGGGATAGAGAGTTAGAAACATCGATGAGAGAGAAACATCTATAAGCTGCCTCCTGCACATCCCCCACTGGGGATGTGCCCACAACCAAGGTACGTGCCCTTGACCGGAATTGAACCCGGGACCCTTCAGTCCGCAGGCTGACACTCTATCCTCTAAGCCAAACCGGTTTCGGCAGATTCCAGGTCTTTTAAGAGCAGTTCACATGCCTTTCCCCCTCTGTAGAGTACGCATTATACTTCAAATCAATCTCATGTTCTAGTTCAGATGTCATTACTTTAAAATGCCAGTCACATCAAGGAGTCGACAAATGGTTAAAACATGTTAATCCAAATATCAATCTGGTGGGTTTGTTTCTTTTTACAACATCCGCGTAACAGGTAGTGAGATTTCTGCCTTCTCGCGTCACCAACAGGTGTATGATTCAAGTTCAGTCCGTGGCAACAGGTAAGTCTATTTTCCTCTCTACCCTACGATTATTAGTGTCTGCTAAAACAGTAATAATTACATTATAAACAACTTGGCTTTGTGGCTGGACCAGAAAGCCCTTTGCATGCCCTTCCACCGGAATCCTGCTGGGGGGTGTCGGTGATGGTGGTGGTGGGGGTGACCTGGTGGCCCCACAGGAGGCCCAGGCCCCGGGCAGGGAGGTGGAGCCAGGGCCTGAGAGTGAGCTCGGGGCAGGGCTCCTGAGGGAGCCGGTGGGCACTGCCCGTGCGGGGGGCTGGGATTCTGGTTTGAGAAGCGATGGAGGGGCACCTCCCCAGGGGGAGGAAAGGGGAACCTCGAAGGACTCCACCCAGACATCTGGGCTGGCGCTGCGTCCCTGGGTCCCAGGAGAGGGAGGGAGGGAGGGAGGGAGGGAGGAGGGAGGGAGAGAGAGAGAGAGCGAGCAAGAATGAATGTTTGGAGGAGCCACTGGGCCGCGGGGGGCATGGACCAAAGTGGGGGCGCAGCGAGCCCTGGGGGGGCCAGGAGCGTGGGTGGGATGCCGGGCAGGTGTGCATGCCTGGGGGGGTGGGGGGCAGGTGTGGGTGCCAGGGGGCAGGTGTGTGTGCCCAGGGGGCAGGTGTGGGTGCCATGGGGCAGGTGTGGGTGCCATGGGGCAGGTGTGGGTGCCAGGGGGCACGTGTGGGTGCCAGGGGGCAGGTGTGGGTGCCCCGGGGCAGGTGTGGGTGCCATGGGGCAGGTGTGGGTGCCAGGGGGCAGGTGTGGGTGCCCCGGGGCAGGTGTGGGTGCCATGGGGCAGGTGTGGGTGCCAGGGGGCAGGTGTGGGTGCCCAGGGGGCAGGTGCGGTGCCCAGGGGGCAGTTGTGGGTGCCAGGGGGCAGGTGTGTATGCCCAAGGGGCAGGTGTGGGTGCCAGGGGGCAGGTGTGGGTGCCAGGGGGCAGGTGCGGTGCCCGGGGGGCAGGTGCGGTGCCCAGGGGGCAGGTGCGGTGCCCGGGGGGCAGGTGCGGTGCCCGGGGGGGGCAGGTGCGGTGCCCGGGGGGCAAGTGCGGTGCCCGGGGTGCTGTCCTCGCACCCAGCCCTGCGCTGAGCCGGCCCCCGCCCTCCCCCCTGGAGGAGGCTGAGGGTGCCGGGCTCCCATCCTCAGGGCCGCCGGACCGCTCCGGGCCTCGGTCTGCCCCCGCGCGGGCACTGGCTGTCCGCCTCGCCCCGGCCCTCGCCCGCCCCGCCCGCCCGGACCCGGGACAGGCAGCCCCGGCCCCCGCCGCACTCACCCGCGGGGCCGGCCGCCTCGGGGCCGCTGTCGGCGGCGCTGGGCGGCGGGTCGGAGTCGGTGTAGGTGAGCCAGGTGGACTCGGTCTCCCGCGTCCAGCTCTCGTAGTAGCGGGGCTCGATGGCGTCCGCCCTGCTGCCGCCGCAGCCCATCCTCCCGCCGGCCGCGGCCTGGGCTCCGCTCGGCGGGGGCGGCTCAGCCCCGGCGGCGGGGCCCGGGCCCGGGAGACCGGGGAGAACCGGGCGGCGGCGGCGCCCTCTCCTCCCCTCCGGCCCCAAGGCCCGCCCTGCCCACCCCTCCTCCCCGCCTCCCTCCACCTCCCCGCTCCCCCGTCCCCCTATTCCCCCTCCCTCACCCTCTCCCCAGCGCCAGAGGGGGGACCCCTTCCTTCCCTCCACCCCGGGGATCCCACCAGGGTTCCGCCTGCACCTGCTGGAGCTAGGGCTCTCTGCTCCTGTGCATTCACCCATTCAAATGCCACCCTCTCCCTGGCTCCCTGGCCCCCTCCCTTCTCCCTCCTCCCTCCTCCCTCCTCCTTCCTCCTTCCCCTTTCCTCTTCCCTCTTCCTTCCTCCTTCCTCCTTCCTCTTCTCTCCTCCTTCCTCCTTTCTCCTCCCTCTTCCTTCCTCTATCCTCCATCCTCCATCCTCCTTCCTCCTTCTTCCTTTCTCCTTCCTCCCTCCTCCTTCCTTCTTCCTCCTCCCTCCTCCATCCTCCCTCCTCCTTCCTCCTTCCTCTTTCCTCTTCCCTCCTCCTTCCTCCTTCCTCCTTCCTCTTCTCTCCTCCCTTCTCCTTCCTCCTTCCTCCACCCTCTTTCCTCCTTCCTCCTCCTTCCTCCTCCATCCTCCTTCTTTCTCCTTCCTCCTCCTCCTTCCTCCATCCTCCTCCGTCCTCCTTCCTTCTCCTTCCTCCTTCCTCCTCCTTCCTCCTTCCTCCTTCCTCCTTCCTCCTCTTTCCTTCCTCCTTCCTCCTCTTTCCTTCCTCCTCCCTCCTCCTTCCTCCTCCTTCCTTCTTCCTCCTTCCTCCTCCATCCTTCCTCCTCTCTCCTCCATCCTCCTCCCTCCTCCTTCCTCCTTCCTCCTCCTTCCTCCTTATTCCTTCTTCCTCCTTCCTTCTTCCTCCTCCCTCCCTCCTCCTTCCTCTTCCCTCCTCCTTCCTCCCTCCTCCCTCCTCCCTCCTCCATCCTCCTCCCTCCCTCCTCCTCCCTTCCTCCTTCCTCCTCCTTCCTCCATCCTCCCTCCTCCATCCTCCTCCCTCCCTCCTCCTTCCTCCCTCTTCCTTCCTCCCTCCTCCCTCCTCCATCTTCCCTCCTCCTTCCTCCATCCTCCCTCCTTCTTCCTCCTCCTCACTCCTCCTTCCTCCTTCCTCCTTCCTCCTTGCTGGCCGGTGGTTTCAGGGGCCTGGCTATGGCTCTCCCTGTGTCCTAGTTCAGGCAGAAAGAGGGCCTGAGCCGGGCGGTGCCAGAAGGTTCTGCAGAAGGAAAGGAGGCCCTGGAGCCGCACACCACACCAGGGGCCAAGCATGGCCTCCAAGAACGAAGGAGCAGCCGGCCACGCAGCCCCTCCCGGCTGGTTTGGGCGAAGGGGATGGGACCTCTGCTCCCCAAAGAGCTGGGCACGGCTCTGTCCCCGCCGCCCTCCCCAGGCCTGCCACTTGCTGATCCCAACTTGGTCCTCTGCGCACTGAAGGGTCCCAGGTTCAATTCCAGCCAAGGGCATGTACCTTGGTTGCGGGCACATCCCCAGTGGGGGTTATGCAGGAGGTGGCTGATCAATGTTTCTAGCTCTCTATCTCTCTCCCTTCCTCTCTGTAAAAACTCAATAAAATACGTGAAAGAAAGAAAGAAAGAAAGAAAGAAAGAAAGAAAGAAAGAAAGAAAGAAAGAAAGAAAGAAAGAAAGCCAGAGAGGACAGGAGTCCTGTGGCATCTGGACACCCTCTCTGAGCGGGGCTGGGGGCACGCTGGCTTCCCCCCCCCCCCCCCGAACCCAGGCAGCCTTGGCATTCCGGGGTGCACTGCCCGGCTCTCAGGCTGCTGTTCCCTGGGCACACTCAGCTCTGGCTCCGGTGGGAGAACAGATTCACCTGGCCCGAAGAAGCCGGAGCACTTGGCAGGAGGAGGGAACACCTGGGAGAGGAGGAAGCCACCCCTAAAGAAAGGGCTGAAACAGGAGGACTAGCCAGCGTGGCTCAGTGGATAGAGCGTCAGCCTGCGGACTAAAGAGTCCAAAGCAGCCAATTGTGTCAGGTGGAGAGGTCTGAAAATGGCAGGTCAATGAGGCATGCTATCTATCCTGATGGAATTAGAAATGCCTGTGAAATTTGAGTTCACGTATGGAAAGCAATTAACGCAGAACCTGGAATATATAATAGCAAAAGGAGCTTTATAAATGCTAGCTTTCATGATCACACGGCTTCCAGTCTGGAACTCAAGAGAGAGGTTTCAGCCAAAACCGGTTTGGCTCAGTGGATAGAGCATCTGCCTACGGACTGAAAGGTCCTGGGTTCAATTCTGGTCAAGGAACATGTACCCTAGTTGCGGGCACAACCCCAGTAGGGGGTGTGTAGGAGGCAGCTGATCGATGTTTCTAACTCTCTATCCCTCTCTCTTCCTCTCTGTAAAAATCAATAATATATATATATATTTTTTTTTAATTTTTTTTTTTTTAAGAGAGAGAGAGGTTTCAGCTAGCAAAGTGGGTTTAGGAGGCAGCAGCCTATGAGAGATCTATGAAGAAATGTCTCCTTTCCCAAATAGCTGGGCCTTTCCTGGTTTGCTTTTCTAGTGCTCACACCTCCCAGCTCCGAGTGCCCCACTTCCTGCTCCATCTCTCCCGCCCCCAGTCTTCTCTCTGTCCCAGCAGCTGACCCCAAGTTTGATATTCCAGCCACTGCTCACCACTTCCTCCAGGTACATCCAAGACGCGGTGGGTGGGTGGGTGAAGGCACTCAGCACTCAGGCCTCAGTTTTCTCACCTGTGAATGGGCTAATGAATTGGGTGGGGATGTGTGAAGTGCTTGGAAGAGTGCCGGTCGGTCCATAGAGAGCCTAATCAGTGTTAGCTGTTGCTGCACTTTTGGGGCAAGGCGCAACAGAAGAAATACCTGACATGAGTGTTTTTCACATGAGATCATGTCTGTGAATTTGTTTAGCACACAGCAGAAGTTTGGTAAATGTTAATCTTTTTTCTCTTCCCTCCTCCCCGCCCCCCTGCCACCACCCACCTTCCTTTATGATGTTCCTACTAACAGCCTTTCTGCAAATAAATTTCTCACTGCCATTGCTATATAATCATCGATGGAACAGCCATCTGGGGTTTTTTCATTGAATTTGTTCTTACATAAAATCGCAAATTGAGAACCACCCAAAGTCATGGAGAAAGTTGTTACCCTCACGGAGCTGACGTTTTAGCAGGAGCTCGGAGCCTCTGACAATGGCTCGGTGCTCTTTTAATTACAACTCTTTAGCTGGTATTGAATTTCCCCCAAAACTTCAGGGATAAATGCAATAGACACAAATATGCAAAGTGTAATAAATGATCTTAAACCATCTCTTCAGACTCAATCTCTCCTGTTTCCAGTCTTGCTTCCTTTCTTAGGAAAAGCAAAAGAATTGGTCGTTTTTTCCCATAATTTTCAAAGCAACAACAACAACAAAAAATGATTCTAAAAGAGGGAAGCTTCTAACAGGGAATTGAAATACTTTAGACAAGGCCATCCAGAGCAACTCAATGCATCCTGCCTTTAAAAGCTGTTGCTGTGTGGTTACCTGATGGGATTCTCAAAATAATGCATCTGTGGCTTTAAGACCCTTTGTGGTGAGTACCGCCCTGGCTCATTTCCATGGAAACCAGAGCAGTGGTCTAGGGCCTCCCAGGGCTTATTTCTCCCTGGGCTCTGCCCAACTATGCCGAGCCGGGAAGGAGACCTTCAGCGAGGCAGTGAGTGTTCAGGACAGAACACAAGCTCCACAGACCCTAAACCTGCTGCCAGACTCAGTCATCTGAAAAAGAGTGGAGAGTGATTCACCGCCTTCTAAGTTTCGTTTTTCCACCACGTGAAAAAAAACTACAGGTAAGGAGCTGTGGCAGCAATAATTCTAGGCAACGGGGTGCAGACCCCAGGCCCTGAATGCTGTGCCTCTGCAAGTACCCATGGTGCTTCATGCCCTCTCTTTGGAGGATTTAAAGCAGTTTCCACTGAGCACCCACCCCCCTGACACACACACACACATACAACACACACACACACACACACACACACACACACACACACACACACCCTGCCCCAGTCCCCAGTCCCCAGTCCTGGCTAGCTGACGCATGCTCATTGATTTACAAAGTGTAATTTTCTGGTAAAGGAAGAGAGCTCGAAGTTCACACCCCAAAGCACACAATCTGGGGAAGAAAGTCAGCAAGTATCCTTTGATACAGGCCCGTTCATGCATCTCTCGCCTTTGAAGAATGACTCCATCCCCTGGGGGGAACTTAGGGTACACCTGGCATTGCAGGCAAAGAGGGTAAGCAAGGGAGACTGAAATGTTAAAATGGCAAGAGGATAAATGAGTTTTTGACTTGGTTTAAGAAGGCAGAAAAGGTGAAAGAGGAAATTTTGCGCACACACACAAAAAAGGAAGTAATTGGATGTGTTACCATGAAACATTTATATGGAAAGTGAAATTTAAATGTCAAAGTAAACACTATAGAATGAATTCTCCCTCCACTCGTCTTTTTTATTATATATATTTTTATTGATTTCAGAGAGGAAGGGACAAGGAGAGAGCGATAGAAACATCACTGAGAAAGAATCATCGACCGGCTGCCTCCCTGCACACCCCACACTGGGGATGGAGCTTGCAACCCAGGCCTGCGCCCTGACCGGGAATTGAACCGTGACCTCCTGGTTCATAGGTCGACGCTCAACCACGGAGCCACGCCAGCCAGGCTCCACTAGTCTTTAAACCAAATAACTCTCATGAGAAGAGAGGTCTGCTCCTTTGGGTTCATTCTAAAGAGATTCAGCAAGTTTGTCCTTCCTCCCTCCCTCCCTCCCTCCCTCCCTCCCTCCCTTCCTTCCTTCCTTCCTTCCTTCCTTCCTTCCTTCCTTCCTTCCTTCCTTCTTTTTTTCCTTCCTTCCTTCCTTCTTTTTTTCCTT